TTAATACTCTAACCTACCAAACAGAACTGTAAATATGCTTTAATGTGTCAATTCGCTTTGAACAATTGATCTGAAGTGTTCCACATTTTGCAAATATGGTTTGATTTAGTTTTTTTTTTTTGTTGTTTTTTTTTAATGTGAGATTTAAGGAAGATGGTTGCATGACTGACTGATGTTTGTGTTCTGCCATCTTTTTTGTCGATGTCTTTGTATTGACGAACAATAAAAAATGTCCGACCGATTGAAGAGAAGCTCCCAAACATCTGTGTCTGGCCTTTAAAGTCCTGGGACTCCTGGGTCCGGTTCCAGGGATCCGGAAAGCCCGTGGCGTTGTTTTTTGGATAACAGAAGGAACCGGGCGGGCGGCTTAGCGGAGAGCTTAGAAAAACTGGGCCGTTTCCTTTTCACGCCGTCCAATGTGAAGCGATGTAATCCTCTCTGTGCGTTAGTGGAATCGAGACGGATCATCATTGAGAATTTAAAAAGTTTCCAAACTGGAGAGAGACCCTCTGTGGAAATAACTTATTGCTTCTGTGATTTTGGCTGCTGTCGCTACAGCTTTAGGATTATGAGAGTGTGGACTGCAGTTATGCTGTTGCCATGGAAATGGCAATATTGGAATCAAGCCTGTTTTGTTTTTTTTGCTTTGGTAAGTTATTCATGTAGAGGCGACATATGCATAGCTGAGCAGGCTTTTAGAGTCTGATTACCATCGCAACCATTTTTTATGAGGCTGCAGGACCATAGTTCAGTTCTGTACGTTTCAAACACATTTTAAATTCGATCATTAGCTTTTTTGTTTGCTTTTTTGACCTCGTCCTGTTCAGCATTATGGAAATCTGAGTACCGTGCTCTGCTGAACACATTTGCTTTGCCAAAGGAGGCTTTGTTGGTGAGAATTCCCCCTTTTTTTTACCCAAAAACGGCTATATTTATTTATTTCTGTTACCAAACTTAATCCAATCCTTAGTAATAATAATTAATAAAAGCTGAACCTGACAGAGGGACAGGGAAGAAAGAAAAGCAAAGAAAAACAAACCAGAAATGGAGAAAGATCCATTAGATAGAGAATAAAAGAACAAAAAAGAAAGATACAGAACCATACGACCAGCTGCTAAATGGACAAGTTCGATCATTCGTAATTGATAGCTAACTTCCAACTTCCCATACGGTTAATCTTCATATTAAGATTGTGAGAACGTGTAAGCGTGTGTAGATTAAAAACACATGGCTGGTTTTTACATGCTAGTGCTTTATTGGAGCTCCAAAAACAGCGTGGCGGCGTGGAGCTACAAGCTTGTTGCTAAATGGCGTGGTAGGTAGACCTGGAGACCTGGAGTGAGGCTAGCTTAGCATGTCTGGCTGCTCCTCTTGACTCAATTCAATTAAATTTTATTTATATAGCGCCACATCACAACAACATTTATCTCACAGCGCTTTCCAAACAGAGCAGGTCAGACCCTACTCTGAAGTTAATTACAGAAACCCAACAATTCCCACCATGAGCAAGCACTAGGCGACACAGGCAAGGAAAAACTTCCTTTTAACAGGCAGAAACCTCGAGCAGAACCATGGCTCAGGGTG